GTGTGGGAGCTAGAGACAGATGTTGAAATCAAAGCTTCAGCTGGGAAGTTCCATCACATGTTTGCTGGGAGACCACACCATGTCTCCAAAGCAACTCCAGGGAAAATTCAGGGCTGTGAGCTTCATGAAGGCGAATGGGGCAAAGTCGGCTCTATAGTCTTCTGGAATTATGTTCATGGCAAGTCAAAGTTATAATATTTATAACTGCATAGAATAGGTTCTTAAAACTTCATATTTATATCGACGGAAAACTTACCAGAAATGCATACTTGATGCATGTGAACTAGTTAGTGTCACAAATCGTCGTTTCCCCATTTTATAGAGAAAAAAAACATTAATCTGATTCTAACAATCAAATCCACATATATGAAATGAGAACATTTTAGATTAAATTATAAGCTTAATTATTATATGTTTTGAACTAATATTCATACTGATTCTTGGATCCAAACATATATATTTGGTGCAGATGGAGAGGCAAAGGTGGCAAAAGAGAGGATTGAGGCAGTGGAGCCGGAGAAAAACCTCATCACTTTTAGGGTGATAGAGGGAGACTTATTAAAAGAGTATAAGAGCTTTGTGATCACAATCCAAGTGACTCTTAAAAGAGGAGGACCTGGGAGTGTGGTGCACTGGCACGTCGAGTATGAGAAAATTGACGACAAAGTGGCTCACCCTGAGACCTTCCTTGATTTCTGTGTCCAAGTCTCCAAAGAGATCGATGAACATCTCCTGAACGAGGAATAGAGAGTACTCTTTAATTGAGTATCTATCCAATAATGTGTATATGTCAGTTATGAAGCACGCATGTTCTTGTGTATGATACAATAAACAAGGAGCGTAGCCCAATATATGTGAGTGATATAGAAAAGAGTTGTACTCTAGATGTGTGTATGTCATGTTTGGTTTTAATAAAAGCTTATGTGTTTGTGGATATACCAAGGCTGGTCTCTCTCCTATCATGAATGTTAGAATCATGCATTAATTCTTTGCTACCTTGTTTGAGACTCTTGTATTAGCGAGTTCTGTGAGCTTCATGTAACAAAAACGCGTTATTCTCATTAATAAAGCATATTAATATGTAAAACAGAGTTAGAATCAATATTTAATCAGCCAAATTAGACATAAGAAGGCGAAAAGATAACTAAAATCAAACAAAATAAAAAGAAAAAAAATCAGAATAATCATAAGATTATAAAGTCATTATGCTATGAGTATGAATACTACGTACTTGACTAAAGTTAGAAAGAAGGCAGTTCTTCTTTCTCGGGAAAAGCAGATCTTAAATAATTGTAGATGATCTTAACCCTACCTATTGTCTCTGAAGATAAACGTGTGATAATGTGTTATTCAACTTCTCAATAGAGCATCCATTGATTTTTAAGAGAAAGCTTTTACAATTTTCAAAAGTTATATGAGTGTCGGGAAAAGTGTTGTCTACCGTCATATCAACACCTAACTAGTCTACCAAAAAAAAGTGAGCATGAAGGAAATGATCTAAAATGGCATTTTGGTACTCACATAACCTTAATTTCGATCACTATTACTTTCACAATTATTAGACTCTTGTTATAAATAAGTATTTATTTTATGGTAGATATAAATATAAATACAAAAATATCGGACTACCGAAATAAAGAAAGACAAAAAAGATTTTTTATTATTATTTATTTCGTAAATGAAGTTGTGAATTGTGGATTACATCGATCGAATTTGATTGTTATATAGACGTAAAAAGTAAATTAATATAAGTGCATAATAACAGTAGACTCCGCACAAAATAAAATTTAACCCATAATGTTTAACATGAAAAATTGTTGACGTTTGTTTTACCTCCTTTTATTATTTTCCCAATAGACAAAAAGTTGTTATTGTTATAAATAATTACTTTATTTTATGGTGTATATAAATCTATATATAATAGCAATCTAATAAATACTATTTGCACATTTGAATGGTTGCGTCTTTTTATTGCAATCTTTCGTTTAAATTGGTTATTTTTTTACGGTTATTTTGGTTGCGTCTTTTTATCGCAATTTTCGTTTTACTCGGTTATTTTTTTACGATTATATCGTTTCCAATAAATACCATTTACACATCTGAACGGTTGCATCTTTTTATTGTAACTTTTCGTTTAAATATTTATGGTTACTTTCGGTTGTGATTTTATCACAACTCTTCGTTAAAATATTGACGGTTACTTTTTATTGACGGTTATTTTTCGGTTGTGTTATTGTAATATTTAAAATATTAGCGGTTAGTTTTTTCGTTTGTGTCTTTTTATCAAAATATTCTGTTAAAATATTGACGGTTATTTTTTTTTCGGTTGTATATTTTTATCGCAACTTTTCGTTAAAATATTGACAGTTATTTTTCTCGGTTGTGTCTTTTTATCTCAACTTTCCGTTAAAATAGTGACGGTTATTTTTCACGGTTAAGTCTATTTATCGCAACTCTTCGTTAAAATATTGACGGTTACTTTTTTGTTGACGGTTATTTTTCGGTTGTATATTTTTTATCGCAACTTTTCGTTAAAATATTGACGGTTACTTTATATATTTGTGTCTTTTTATCATAACTTTCCGTTAAAATATTGACGGTTATTTTTTCTTGGTTGTGTCTTTTTGATCGCAACTCGTCGTTAAAATAACTACGGTTACTTTTTTCGTTGACGGTTATTTTTTTGTTGTGTCTTTTTATCGTAACTTTCCGCTAAAATATTGACGGTTACTTTTTTGTTTGTGTCTTTCTATCATAACTTTCCGTTAAAATATTGACGGTTATTTTTTCTCGGTTGTGTCTTTTTGATCGGAACTCTTCGTTAAAATAATTTCTTCGTCAATAGTTCTTTTTTGGTTGTGTCTTTTTATCGTAAATTTCCGTTAAAAATATTGACGATTACTTTTTTCGGTTATGTCTTTCTATCGTAACTTTCCGTTAAAATATTGACGGTTATTTTTCTCGGTTGTATTTTTTTATCGAAACTTTCCGTTAAAATATTGACAGTTATTTTCTCGGTTGTATCTTTTTATCGCAACTCTTCGTTAAAATATTGACCGTCATTTTTTTTCGGTGATGGTTCTTTTTTCGGTTGTGTCTTTTTATCGCAACTTTCCGTTAAAATATTGACTGTAACTTTTTTTCGTTTGTGTTTTTTTTATCGGTATTTTGCGTTAAAATATTGACGGTTATTTTTTCTAAGTTGTATTTTTTAAAATCGCATCTTTTCATTGAAATAATGACGGTTATTTTTGTGAGACAGTTCTATTTTTTCAATTATAGTCATATTTTTTTTCAGTTTACTGTTGTATCTTTATAGTTGCATATACGTTTCTTCACTATATTTCATTGCATTTTTTTATCACAATTTTTTGTATGAATAATTATCTATTTAAATGTTCGTGACTTCTGAACTCTAAATAATTGTCTTTCTTTCTAAGTAGTTCCCAAATTTTTGTTCTTTAACATAGATTATTTGTTTCATGATGAATAAAAAAATACAAATCTGTAAAATGGCTCTAAATTCTTAATTCTCTAAACTATTTCTAAACATAAATCATTTTAATATTAAAAAAATTCTTCCGATTTTAGATTTAACCAAAGTTTTTTGGAATGATTATAAAAAGAGAGAAGTTTGAATCAACTTTAAATATAAAATTCTAATGAAGATACCGACAATTTTGTTCTTAGAATTGGACTGAGTATACAGTAGCTTTTTTTATTTAGCTATTTTATATGAAAACAATAATGTTTTTTTTTTTATCTTAAAGCAATATATATGGGTTGTATACAACGAAATATTGATTCTGATTTAGCACTATTACAAAGTTCGAATATCAGAAGACATCCTCATGTGAAGCTTGTGATTAGGCGCTTTAAATGTGGTAAGCGTCAAATAAACAGTTTCAAATAGTATAGTAATTCATAAATCATCTTCATTATTAGGAATAAAGCAATGATTCCAATTCGTCACATGAATGTTCAAGGAAGAAGTTTTTTTACTCAGTTAACTAATCAATACAAATATAAATTTATGAGATTGTGTAAATGTTTATTTGTTTGTTATAGATGTAATTTACGTCATCAAATTTTATATCTTCTCGAATATATATAATAAAATAAATATTAATTTTATATTTAAAGAACAGTGGACAAACAAATAACACCAATTCTTAGACGTTCTTAGTCACCCACAAGTCGTGCTAAGTACTGATTCCATCCGAATTTTTTGGTTTTGACCCGCTAGAATTTCTTATCTCTATATTATAACTCTTTTTTATGTATATTGTCACTTATAAATAATTTTACATTTATAAAAGTTGTTTCAAAAGTGTTTTTAATCATAATTCTTCTTTTTACATTTTTATTCGTAAATTATTTTAACATCTTTGGAAAATATTTACGACATAGCTTAAAAATATAGTTAATTTTATGTAATAATTCAACTTTTTGAATATATTATCATAATAATTTAATACATAAACACAATCAAATATATTTGTTAAAAATGAGTTCCCCCGCGACATCGCGGGGGTTCATAACCTAGTATAAATAATAGAGAAAGAATTTATACCCGCATAAAAATTGGGATACTGAAACAAAACGAAAACACCACTAGCTACAATAAATGTATCTGAGCATATATATATAAACGTTAACAGAGAAAAGAGCGACGTGAAAGGACGCAAATAATTCAGTGTTATTTTCTTGGTTAATAGTTACTCACTTAATTAATTCTATATTATGTGAAGCTTTACAAAACAGAAAGGACTTCATACAAAAAAATCTTAAATACACATTTAAAAGAAGAGTTTTTTAGGTGGAAATCTTACTGAATCGTTATGGGTCACAATAATGGGATTGTGAAATCACAATTAAACCAGTGTCATCTACTTCTAGAGATGCTCACAAATTCCTCTATATATAGGGCTATCCAAGTCCTAAGGGAATTCACTCTCTACCAAAAACAAAAATCTCACCCTCCTCAAGAAAATCAAACCAGCCGTTAGAAAAATGGCGGATGTAGCTACAAAGACATCCGTGGAAGATGAGGTGAAGAAAACAGAGCCGTCTAGTTTGTTGGGGAAGCTAGAAACAGACGTGGAGATCAAGGCTTCGGCTGATAAGTTTCATCACATGTTCGCTGGGAAACCACACCATGTCTCCAAAGCAAGTCCAGGCAACATTCAAAGCTGTGATCTGCACGAAGGCGACTGGGGCACAGTTGGCTCTATCATCTTCTGGAACTACGTTCATGGCAAGTCAATGTTATATTCATCTTTTTTCATATATAAATAACTAACCAGGAGATCATTTTAAATTAAGCCTATAAATATGATATGGTAAATAATTGGTTTAGATGGGGAGGCAAAGGTGGCTAAGGAGAGAATCGAGGCGGTGGAGCCGGAGAAGAACTTGATCACGTTTAGGGTTATAGACGGTGATCTGATGAAAGAGTACAAGAGCTTCTTGCTCACGATCCAGGTGACCCCCAAGCCTGGCGGGCCTGGAAGTATTGTGCATTGGCACCTTGAGTATGAGAAGATTAGCGACGAGGTAGCTCATCCCGAGACTCTTCTTCAATTCTGTGTCGAAGTGTCCAAAGAGATCGACGAACATCTCTTGGCTGAGGAAGAAGAGGTGAAGACAACAGAGACGCCTAGTTTGGTGGGGAAGCTAGAGACAGACGTGGAGATCAAATCTTCAGCTGAGAAGTTCCATCACATGTTCGCGGGAAAACCACATCATGTCTCTAAAGCATCTCCAGGAAACATTCAAGGCTGTGATCTGCACGAAGGCGACTGGGGCAAAGTCGGCTCTATCGTCTTTTGGAACTATGTTCATGGCAAGTCAATGTTATATAAATTTCTTGTTCATAAATAATATGTCTCAAAATTAAACAT